TAAACAATAACATGGGTGAAATTGGAAAGTAGCCATTAATGAGTTATATGGTTGAAGACTTATATTGAGAATCAAAAATTGCCTCTAGAAAATGCCCTGTACTAAAAACCAAAGGGAGTTAGGAAAGATCCAATAGAGTAAAGGAAAATCCACTATGTATAGAACACGTTGGAAAGTGTAAACAACAAGTTTGCCAAGAGTTTTAGGTATAGTTTTGCGGGAACTCTAAATCCATAATTATATGCATTTAGGAATGTGTAAGTTCTTTGACTAAAAATTAAAAGACTCCTCCTTTGCTTCTCTCTTCCAAGCTTATCCTTTAATTTAGTTAATTTGTCATTTTGCAAGATGATTGCTTCAAGATTTTCCAAAATCTATCTTCTTAATCACTTGCAGCGGACAATAACTCTAGCCTACATATATTTACAAGTAGTGTCGTCTTCTGATCGATAGTTCATTGTTATAGTCATTGTGAGCATAATAACAATACTCCCTCCATCCCATATTATAAGCAACTTTGTACTAGATTACGTAAATCAAAGTAGTAATTAAAATTAGTTAAAAATAATAAATATGTAAAAATTAAAAATTTTCTCTCCAAAATACCCTCATTTATGATTGGAGAATAATGAAAGAGAAAGAATGGTAGTTGTTGCTTATATTATGAAAGAGAGAGAATGGGAGGATTATTTATTAAGGATAAAATAAAAAATTTGTTATAAAAATTTAAGACAACTATTAAAAATTACTTATATTCTAGGAAAAGATGAAGATGGTAATTGTTGCTTATAAATAATATGGGACGAAGGGAGTATTACTTATTATAACTACCCTCCATCCAACAATAACATAAGATATCTTCTAAAATTTTTCATGGTCCATTATTAGGCTCTTTGAAAATTTGGTGAAACGTTTATGACGTATATTTCCAAAAATAATGTCGGCAAAAAAATTCTAAATATATTATTTATGTAATTAACCCTCAATCAATTGGAAGATATTATCTTTGACTTTTGCATAGAAAACAATCCCGCAATCCATTAGGAGGTGGCGGTAATTAATTAATACTATTTATATAATTTACCTGTGCTTCTAGTTTTTCTTAATTCTATTTATAAATAACCTTATTAAATTTTTAACATAAATATAATAGTTTGTCCAGTATTTATTATAGTGTAGATAGTTTATTTTTAGATATAGTATTTCTACTAAATAGGGATAATATTGAAAAATTACTATATTTCAAAGGATGAGTTAATACAATTTAATTTTTTTCAGTTTGTTTTTGTTGTTGGATGAATTGTGTATTTTAACTTCTCAGTACGCAAGAATTGGTGATTATAGTGATGAGTTGAAAGAGGTACAAGACTTAGATATGGGTATTTTGTGTTTAAGTTTAAATCATGGTGGGGCACTATATGATTATATAACAATCATGGTCGGTCTTCCTACATTATTTCCGTCCATTACAACCATCTATTGAATAAAAATTTTCTCTGTATGAATTAATCTGAACTTTGTGTAATCCAATGTCTTACTTCTAATAGCTATATGTATTTTCTATTGAATAAAAATTCTCCTCGAATCTTAATGCGTATAAACCAACCGCTTTTATTTTGCCAAAGTCTGATTTGCCATCAGAGCCTTTCTAATTAAACAGAGTATACCCGCTGACAGAACACAACGAGATTCCATCATATCCCACGAAGTTCTTTCTTAACAGGAGTAAAATTGATCAGATTAAAAAATTCTTCACTCGCTTTATCAGCTTCATATATATACACACACATTAAATCTATAAGATCTAGTTTATAACGTAAATTAAAAAATACAAATTAAAATTATAGAATAAACTAATTTTTATTTAAAATCAGAAGTTGTGTCCGTGTATATATATTTAAAGAAGTATGTAAATATTTTATAAAATATCCATGTCAACAGGGCCAGGTCTACTCCGCTCATCTCCAGCCAGCATCTATAATTTGTGTTCTTAAGACATTGAAAGATTTCTTTTATGGGGGATAAAAACGGTCATAAGTATTTAATTTTAAACATCAAAAGCGTGACCGAACGAACATAAATTCAATGCACTAAAATAAGAAATTCATTTATACTGAATATAATATTGCTAGAATATGAATATTGGATACATTAATTACTTATTGAATAAAAACTTCAAATAAAATGAAATGACCAACATTGATTATTAAAAAAATGCATAACAAATTTTTTAAAATATTGAAATTAACAATACTCTCAACGTTTAATTATTTACAGTATCATTTATAAATAATGTTTAATAGTTTAACTTGTGAGTAATTAAAATAATTACAGACTTACAGCCAATAAGTGCATATGTTCAAATCTGAGCCGTTATCCTTTCCCCCCGCCAACGCTCCAAAGCATGCCACGTCATCCACTGTGAAAACGTTTTCCACGTTAATAGTGTGCTCATCCCTTTGATCAGCATTATAAACTTATCAATTTGGATAATCACATCTTATTTTGATGGTCTACGTTTAATTTTTTATTTATTCAAAATACTTATTTTAATATATATATAAAATAAAATAGAGATAACCTCCTAATTATATTTTTTTAAAAAATAATTTTTATTTAAAAATAATTAATTATTTATTTTAAATATTTATTGTTTAAATTAGATATAAACTGCAGAAATCGGATAAGTTTAAGAAGTTATGTTTCCTGATTGGACTCATTTAGAACAGCTTACAAATAGTTTTTTAATAATGATTTAAAGAATACAAGACAAGTATTTGAGAGGAGTTTTACCTTGAAACGTACGTATAAGAAATTTTTTAAACCCCCAAACAGGCCCTTAAGGTTTATCGTGCTCATGGTTGTATAGATAAATAACTTTTCTCTCCCTTTCCCTCATTATCTCTCGTCCTCAGTTTCGAAAGCCTCTCACACTCATTCTCCTCTCCGCCGGTCGAAAGCAGAGCGTTGCAGCCTCTTCACTTTGACACCCGTCAGATCTTCACTATCACATCCGTCGCATCTCCACCGTGAACGCCGTCCAGTGCTGGGACCCTAAATATGCCATTTGTAATGCAGTAGCAGTCAGTCCAGTGATGCGCACAATGAAGGAGAAGCCGATGGTTTGTTAGTTCCCTTTTGCTGTTCCCAACCTACTGGTTTGGGCTCCTCCACTTACCCATCAGTCTAAGGCTTCTCACCAGTCGCATCGTCGCGTGTTCGATATTGCGTCTGCATATCTAAGCATCTTGTATTATTGGTTGATTCCCCTCCACGACCCTCACCAGTAACGTTTCGGGGTTCTCTTATTCGATTGCCAAAATTGATCGTGCGTTTTATTCTCCCTTGATCCCATCTTGATTATTTACTGCTGAGATTCTTAATATTTCTTTTCTGTATGATACTCAAGACCTATTTAACTATTTAATTAATTTGATTAAATTTAAAAAGTTAGATAAGATAGTTGATTATAAAAAATATAACATATTTTTTTTAAAATATCATAATTATTTTTTTAATATCCTCTTTTTTTTTTTTTGCTTGATTATGGTTCTGTGAAATTCATAAGAATAATTTAAAAAATTAATAAATATGAAAAATATATTTTATATTTAGGACCAAAATCAACTTAACAATTAAATTGGAGGAGTATGAATTAAGGTTTTAAAATATATTTCAGTATTTAAATTCCGTTTTTTCATATTAAAATAATTCAAATTAATTGTATTGTTTAAATTTATTTTTATCATTTTTTATTGTTTAAAAAAATTTTTATCTATTTTGATAATTTTATAAATTAAACTTATTTTTTAATCATAATCCAAACAATCTTCTACTCCATTTAATTTTTATAAATTAACTTTTATAGAATCTAATCCAAACATAATTTATATCACTTAATTTAATTTTTACCCAATCTAATTTTTTCCAAAAAAAATAAATTAAAAATAAGTTATTTTTTTCATCCTAATCCCAACAAACCCAAATTATTGGATTCTGATTGTCATGGCACAGATATCAAATAAAGATGTAAGCTCGCGTCGTGGCAAGAGAGAAGATAAGATAGCACGTTGGATTACCGGCTCCTTTCCACTTCACCCACTTTGAAAAGGTTTTCCGCTATACTTATTTTTTGCCTTTAGAAAAAGTTGAGCACTCCTTTTCTTTTCCTTTTGGCAACACATCAATTCATATGCTTTCTTCTTATTTAGTGCTCTTTTCTTTTTTCTTTTACCTTTCATGCATTAGTACATTTCAATTTGCAGAATATTAAAAGGATAGTGATTAATTGAAGTTCATAGCTATAATCGTGGTTTAATAAATTTTAAAGTTTTAAGTTCATAATTTGTGCTTATTTAATATTTATAAAACTTATCATCTATTTATATAAGGCATTTTTTGCATGGATGTACAATTTTACCCTTCATTTATTGTTATGTTGACTTTGTTTATATGAGGTATAATATATATTAATAGAGATAAAGTTGGAAAGTCATTAAATTTTAAATAAGAGTTAATGAAGTTTAAGTTTTTTCTTGGTCTGTGTAAACATGTTGGAAGTGCCTTATAAATAGGACCAGAGGAGTATTATTTTAGTTTTTTAAGTTATTTTATAAAACTTAAATTAATATTTCAATGGTTATAGATCTGTCATCATGATATAAGCGGCCTGAATTTTGCTACCTAGGGCTTCGAAAATTAATATTTTATAGTTTGGATGACTCGTGTGTTCTGTTCCGAAAAGTGGCACCTGGTTAACACTTTTGAAAATTTGAATTTTGAAAGTCCGTTTGGAAATTAGAGGTATGATTAATCCTTACATTTTCTTTGTTGGTCAATAATTAGCGCTTACTTTACGACCAGCATCATTCCACCATAATCATATCATGTGAAAATATTCCAAAAAATATCCATTTTATTTATTATTAGTATTATTTTGTGTTGATTAGGAGGCTCAAATTTTCACCGTCTGCAACATAACAGCTTTAGTTAATTGAGCTATGGAAGGAAGGCGCAATTTTAACGACATAGTTGCAGAGCCACTCACAAGAAACAGCAGTGCTGATTGGTTCGAATGGGTTAAGAACTATCTGATATCTCGAGATCTTTGGGAAGTGACGAATAATAGCGCAAGACCAGACGAAGATGATTTGGAAGGGTTTCCTAAATGGAGAAGAAACAATGCTGCAGCATTGCACGTCATCCGTATCTCTTGTGGATGTCCCAATCACTCCCATATAAAAGGGGTCTCTAAAGCCAAAGATGCATGGGACATTCTCTATGAGACCTACAATAATAATGCGCCGGCCTCTGCACCGGCTTCTCCCCCAGGTCAGTGCCTTATATATTTCATTAGTGGTATATGTGGAAAAATCCTTTAGTAATTAGGGCACCAGCTCTCTCACAAGAGTCATCTCCACAAAATTAATTTACTCAAAATATACGGTCCTTCTTTATTTGTAAGGCTACTAACAATTCTCTCATTGCCCTCCTACTCAAAATATAATTGAGTGGTGATTACAGAGTTAACGGAGGTAGAAGAATTAGAGATGAGTAATATGCTCAAGGCCATAGCTGAAAACAACTGGTTGGCTGCGAAAGCATTCATTGATCGCTATCCTCAGGTATTGGACGTAGATTTTGCGAAGTCAATGGGCGAAACACCTCTTCACGTGGCTGCAAAATTTGGGCATCTGGGCATAGTAGAGGAGCTGGTGAGATTAGTTCCAGAAGAATATCTGGAGATACGCGATGCTTACTGGGGCAATACTCCGCTTGCAATGGCTGCTTCACACAGTGAACTTATCCCAGTTGCAGCATGCTTGATCAGCAAAAATAAAAAGCCACTTGAAATTCCAACTGATAATAACGCTTGGGGAGATTCCGGCTAACTCGGCTTTTTATTCTGGCCGAAAGAAAATGGGACGTTATCTTTATTCTGTCACTCCTTGGGAAGTCTTCAGACCAGACAACGGCAGTACTGTGGGGCCCCTTTTTCTCCAAAGCTGTTTGAAACTTGGAGAATTAGGTAGCATAACTACTTTTAGATAAATAATTTTATACACAGCATAATAATATATGTGTTTCATTTTCGTTTGGGTTAAGGTATATTTTAGTCCCGAAAGTTTTCACGAAGGAACTGTGGGTATCCAAAAATATTTTTTGAGGTAAAGTGGTTCCGGAAGTGACAAAATCGTAGCAATGTCGTCGTATTTCAACGGAGTTAAACGGTCAATGTTAGTTGACCAATTTGTGTTGGGGTGGTTCTACCATATAGGATAGCACGCCACATAATAAAAATGAAATACCAAACATGTCCCTTTCTTCTTCCTCCTCCACCACACGTTCTTTGGGAACAAACCAAAAACAAATGCAGAGCTGAATATTTCTGGGCTTACCTTCATCCCTCACTGTTCAACCTCTTGCTCTGTTTTTATTTTTCTAATATTTCTCGCTTTATAATCATGTTTGTTGTTTGGTTTTGAATTTGGATTTCAAAATCTATTGTGATTTTTTTTGGTTGATTTTAATTAATGAAGTTGGTCATAGTGAGGCTTGTGTATTTGGAGAGCTACTGTGAAGAGCTGAAGATACCCACAAATATCATAATCAATCCAAACTGCCATTGCCGTGTGAAATTTTGACCGACACTGATGCTATGCCAGAGTCTCTTTATGATCTTAAATATTCTCTATGACATGCCTGAGTCTCCCGTATGAATGGCATTTTGAAATACTCCAATTAGTTGAGATTTGAGTCTCCTGAATCAATTCAGAGCAAAGATACGAAGGTTGCTGTAGGTTGTCGAGGAGGATAGTGAGAATAACTAAGAGTAGGGGCGCGAATATCTAGAAAGAAGATGAAGAAGCCATGGAATGATCTAAACTAAAATTCTCCATGGATGCGGATGATAATGATGAAGGGTAGAGATTTGCGTTTTTCTAGATTCGTTTTTCTTCTCATATTGGTTAACTGTTGATCTGGGTTTAAAATTTTTTTATGGGACTGATGATGATGATGCAGGGGAAAGGTTTCTTTTACTTTATTTTTTTTCAGTAAGGGTTGTGATGATGTGGCATGTTATGTGACATAATATTTAATATGACAGATCCACCTCAGTACAAATTGGTCAACGAAAACTTTCAGGACAAAAATGTCATTTTACCCTTTTCATTTTCCCCCGTCAGTTTATGATGTGGCATGTTAGGCTTTTTTCCATTTCTCATACTATATGATGTTGGTGCATAAATAGATATTGCCTTGGATTTGCTCCGACGATGCAAGGAGCTGCTTTTTGCTACTGACATAAACGAGGACCCAATAATTCAGAATATTGCACGCTATCTTCCTTTGTCTCTGAACATATGTCAACTTCCGTTCTGGAAGCGATGGCTGTATCACTGTTAGTGCATATTATTACTTTCTACTACTCTCTGTTTTTCCCTACAATTTTCTTTATGTTGTTTGCTCATTTTAATTATACACTAGCCAAAATGGTGAATTATGATGATGAGGATAAAGATGGTGAAGATGAAGTTATTTTAACTGCCACTGGTATTCATCCACCAAGGCTCTTTGAAAATTTGGTGAAACGTTTATGAAGCTTTTCCAAAAATAATGTTGGCAAAATTCCAAAAATACAATTTATACAATTAACCCTCAATTTATTGGAAAATATTATCTCTGACTTCATTATTATTTTTTTGCAACTATTATTTCTGACTTCATGTTTCATACAAAACAATCCCTCGATTTATCTCTAGTTATTTCTTGCAATATTATTCGAAGAAGCTTATGTGTTCCATTTCTTTGATCACATTTGGGTGGAAGACATCAAAATACCATCAACCACAACCACTGGGCATTTCTGCGTAGATATTCAGCAAGAAGGCGAGAGCAACCAAGCTGGTCAAGGTACAAAATTCTCTCTCACTTCAGAGGATGAAATTAATTAATATTATATTACTATTATTATATAAAATAGATTATACAATGTAAAGTTACGTTTTTCAATTTATTCATTATACATACCAAAGTCCATGTCAACAGGCCTAGGTCTATTCCATTGGCCCATCTCCAGCACCTACAATTTGTTAGGTACGTAAATGTACCAAAAAGTTTCCCCAGAACTTAAATTGGATGCCTTTAATATTTTAATTCTATTTGATTTACGACTGGTGCAGGAATCAACAAAATATATGAGATGAAGGTGCAGCATGCAAAAGCACATGAAATTCTAAACTTAGTTTGTGAGAATCTGAGACATTTGAATGAAGTAAAGAAGAAAATGTTTGAAAAAGCACTGATATCTGTATCTGAAGAAGAGGGTGTTGAGTTTTTGTTGCGAGTAACGAAGGCAAACACAGAATTAATAATGCTAGTCATTTATGGTGGGTCCCGCTTGCCCATTTTCTTCCATGCTGTTAAGTATCGTAGAGCTGAGATTTTCAACCTCCTCCGTGGTTTTCGATTTAAGAATTTGGTGGTGTCAATGCGTGAGAGCGCGACCTCAAATACCTTGCTGCATGTGGCAGCCCTGTTGGCTCCTTCTTCCTACCTTGACAGCATCTCTGGTGCTGCATTGCAGATGCAAAGAGAGATGCAATGGTTCGAGGTTAGTTAGAAGTGAAATTTAATGATCTTTCCTTCGATATTGTGTCTTTTATTAATTACTTATTATGTATTTTTTCCTATAAAAATAGGCCGTCGAGAGTGTGGTGGATCCTGGATATAAGCTAGCTATAAACAAGGACAAGTTGACGCCTCTAGAGTATTTCAAAAGAAACCACAAAGAGCTGAGGGCTGATGGAGAAAAATGGATGAAAGAAACAGCGTCTTCTTGTTCAGTTGTTGGGGCTCTAATTGTTACCATCATGTTTGCGGCAGCTATAACAGTTCCTGGAGGGAACAATCAGAATTCAGGGTACCCAATGTTTATGAAGGAGAAGTTATTTAAAGTCTTTTTAATTTCAGATGCACTTTCATTGTTTTCTTCCACAACTTCCGTGCTCACATTTTTAGGGATCCTCACGTCGCGCTATGCAGATGAAGACTTCCTTTACTCACTACCCACAAAATTGATAATGGGTCTTTCTACACTGTTTCTATCTATTGCAGCTATGATGATTGCTTTTTCAGCAACCATAATGATCATGTTGCAATATCACTCATCACGTTTATGGGTTATTCTTCCTGTTCCCATACTTGCTGCTGTTCCAGTAACCCTCTTTTGTAGTATTACAATTCCCTCTTCTTGTTGAAGTATTTCGGTCTACTTATGGTCCAGGCCTTTTCAAGAAGAAGGTGGTGTCGTGGCCATGAATTGTGCATGAAATTTATTCGCATTTTACTATATATGTATCATTTTTTGTTGAATAAAAATTTTCCTTTTGAAGCTTAATCGGGTAACAATGCAATTACTTATATTCAGAACGTAAATATATATTGATGTAGTTATCCCAAATTAGTTAGACTAATTAACTGACAAGACTTGGCTATATATGTGCGGATGAATTATTTATTTTTAACGGTAACAAATCAGACGATGAAATGGGTCCAGCCCAAACCAAATCAACGGCTTCACACAGGCCTAATACACTGATGGGCCCACGGTACTTTATAGTTACGGTTAAGAAAAAATTTAAAGAATGATGGAAGTCCTTCCAAAAGTTGCTGACGAATCTAGGGCTTAACTTCTTTCCAATATTAGGTTCTGTTTTACTAAGATCTATGTAAGTACGTGCTTCGCATCTTATTACTTCATGTATTTTCTGTTGAATAAGAAATTTCTGATCCCTTTGAATCTTATCATGTAAAGCACCATGCATGAAGATTGATAATGTTGTCACTATAGCAGGAATACATATGGGCCTGTTATAGTTTGAATCCAAATAAGGTTGAACAATTTAAATTTAAATTAATAAAAAGTTTAATTGTATTCATGAGCATTTTTTCATCAGTAATAAGAAATAAAGTTATGGTTGAGATTTTTTAAATTCAAACTTAAGAGATCAAAATCATCAATGCAATAAAACAGAAAACTTTATATTCTTTTTTAAAATATTCAGTGTATTAATATCACAAAAAATTACAGTCATTCCTTGGCTCTGTGTGTGTGTGTGAGAGAGAGTACCCCGTCAAATTAAAGCCTAAAAAATCAAGCTGCCAATGGTCATTCCTTTCAAGGTATCATTGATGACTGTTTTCATAAGTTTCGCATATATGGAGAACGTAAAAAGTACTGCTAATTATCCAACTAGATAGGGTCTTGAAATTATACAGTTGTTAATAACAGGTTTTTTAAAAAATTAAAAAAGACAATATGATCATTTTAATAAACTTTGAAATTCCTATTTATGCCTATGTGATTAAAAAGGAAGTTTTATTATTCAGATAACTATTTAGAGATTTTTAAATTTAACTATCATTTTTCTATCATTTTCTCAAATTTCAATAGTGCAAAAAGCTAGATTTTAATTTTTTTTAAAATTCGAATTTTTTGCCAACTTTTTTAAATTCAAATTTATGATATTAAAATCATTAATATATAAGATTTATTAAAATCTTCAATTAATTATTAATATGGCAAAATCACAACCTGGGTGCGTGACAGAGAGAGAGAGAGAAGATTCCTATCTCGCGGCCGAAGCCTCGTCTCATCATATGCATGGCAGATCAGAAGGGCCCCACAATTACTATTGTGTGGTGACTATCACCGTACATCAATTGGTTCAAGCTCTTTATGACCACTACACATGCATGAGGGCCGAGCGCAGGTGTACGCACAAGAGTAGTGAAATTATTGAGAGAATTACGGATCAAGTCTCAAAAAAAAAAAAATTCAGTGATAACATAAAAAACTTATAATGACAAATTTCAGAGTACAAATATTTTTTAGACTTGTTTTGTAATTTTTTTTTAGAATCTCATTGTAATTATCCCGAAATTATTTCTTCTGGGAGCAGCACCTTTTTTATGAAAGCAACATATTCTCGTCCTCTCATTCACACGATCTTCCCTTCATTTTAAGGTAATTGTCACTTTAATTTGGAGTTATGCGTAAATACCCTAATGTTCCCAAAATGAGAGAGCAAGAGAGTAGAAGGAATAGTAAGACGAAATTGGGGGAGAAAACAATTGAGTTTTCTCGTTTTTTCCCCCCTCCTTTTGCCGATGCACATGACTTCAACTTTTTGTTTTTGCCAGCATGTGCCTTTAACTATTGAAGTCTAGTCCTATGATCACAAAGAAATAAAGAAGAATATAACGACATTAACCATAAAAAACTTTCTCAAATCATTTATTGCAAAGGTTACATGTTTAGAACATTTAAGATAAATAATCCTAAGAGTTAAGAGTGATGGACATTTACACATGCAATGTTTATACTCCTTCCGGTTCATAATGCAACACATTAGTTAAGCTTTCTGGCAAACGAAGTAATGTTGATCAAGTCATTAAATATGTTTTAAATTAATAAAGGTTACCTATTTTATTCTTATTAAAGAATGAGGTTGGGAAACTCTTTAACCTCTCTTCTTCATTTAAAACTGTCTTTCTTTCTGCGAAAAAAGCTAAAAGTGAAAAACTGTTATTAATTACTCTATCAATATCTTATATTTTGAACCAAAATTTTCTCCTAAAACACTTCTTATAATATGGAGAAGAAGGAGTATGAAATAGACTTGATAATATTTTATTAAAACCCTTATACTTCCTCCATTTTAAAATATAAATCTTTCAAAGTTGATGTTATGCTTACAAATATTTTACCAAAAACAGGAGTGTATATTATTAATCACACAAAAACAAAACCATAGTACGCGCGCAAATAGCCAAAGCCAAGAAACGTAAAGAAGACCCAAAGAAAACTCACAGCACAGCTTATCAGAAAAAAATTGACAAAAACTATAGAAACTATTGACTACATTACGAAATTTATCCTTAGTTAACGTGATGAATAAATTAAAGTCATTGAAGCAAACAAGGACACATCAAAATAGTATTAGTAAATACTTCTTCTTTTTTTGGCCACCGAGTAAATGCTTCTTTAAACTTCTAGAAAGACATATAAAATGGAACGAAAATATTTCTAAAAAGACTTATCATAATTTGAAAAGAACAAAAAACTATATATTTTCTTGAAAGCCTAAAGCAACAATCATCTTGAAACAGAACTCAACCCGAGTGAATATATCACTCTGTTCTTTATTATAGGTTACTTGTACCTCAAAAGTTTGTTTCAAAATATAAGTTATTTGTAGTATAATTAATGACCTTTTTTCAATTTTACCCCTATTAATTTAATAAAAAATCAATTAATCTCTCAACTTTTCATTTCCTATGCAACCATCCCCTCCTTCTCTCTCTCTCTCTCTCTCTCTCTCACAACTTTTAATAAGGGTAAATATGAAAAAAACTGGTTAATTTAATATATTTCTTGGTTTGCGGATTTGGGATGCAAGTTACTTATAATAAGAAACAGAATGGTATATCCTCCTACCAGCTGACATACTACGAGCTGCAAATGGTCTAGAACTCTGTTGGAATATGGGAATTAGGAAAGTGGAAGCATATTGCGATTGGGCAGGAGCCATCAAGCTTTTTCACTAGAATCAAGCCAATAATTTTAGATTTTTTTCATAGATTTTGCATATAGAGAATGTAAAATCTAACTAATTAAATAGAGTCATGAAATTACTGATTTTTTCCCTATGATCTCTATATTGTTTACCTTCAATCGTGACGAAGTTTCTGTTTTATTATTCATAAAAAGGAAAAAAAAATCAACCAGCTCCCCCAAAATGACGCTAATCATTCTGGAACAGTAGGCTAGTACGGCGAGGAACCTCTCCATCGCATACCCTCTCTATCACGCCTCCATTTAATTGAAACGGTATCATTTGTTTATTTTAAAAGAAGAATTGACAGCTTTCTTTCCCAGTCCCGCTTTGTGTGCATCCCAGCTTTAGCAAACTGATATCAGGTGATCATCCAAAAATCACCCAGGACAAAGGTGATGAAACATGTAAGAGGCCAGCAAAAGTATAAATATAAAATGAAATGATTCTTTCTTTTTCCTGGTTAAACAATCATAAGAAACAACTTGCAAAAAAACTCAAAGGATTGCATACAAACTATAAAACAGAGGTATATAGCGAACAAAGATGCAACTAACAAACACAAGTGGTGAACGAGTGAGCAACTTCTTTGGTGATTTCTTTTCACATATGACTTGCAAAATTTTTTGGAGACAAAACCCAGAATTTCTTGCTTAGCTGCAAAACAAGAGAGGCCGAAACAAATTTGGGATGGATGCCGAACAGGATTGGAAAAGAAAGCTGCCATTTCTCCCAAAAAAAAAAAAGAAGCAAACGATGCCGTTTCAATTAAATGGAGGTGCAATGGAGATGATATGCAATGGAGAGGTTCCGCACTGAGGCTGGTACGGTATGGTCATTGTGAATTATAGTACATCAAGTGGTTGAATTGCTTTATTACCCGCGGCTGGGGAGTTAGAGAGGGATGCGGCTTCTCTCCTTTATCCCTTCCCATCCGTTGCCCTCCTCTGCCTTTTTTTTTTTTTACCTGAAAAAGAGTTTTCATTATAGGGAAAGAAGCTACAAACACCAAAGAAGCAACAGGAAACAATAGAAAGCCTAAACAACAACAGTTATGTTAGGACACACAAACACATAAACCAGAGACGAGGGATGCAAGAACAGATCCTAAGATCCAAGGATTGAAAAGAGCAATGACCAATTTCTGTATGCTTTGATTGGAGAAGTGGCGATAGAGAGTGGTAGTCCAAGGACTAGCTTCAAAGAAGCCCACAATCTTTGGTGCCAAAACTGCAACACAGGTAGCTCCAAACGCCCCTACAGTCACAGGGGAGAAGAAAACAAAGGAAAGCTAATAATAACTTCCGATGAAAAGCAAATCATCACAGACGTAAACCAGTCATCACTAGCAACAAAATGAATCCAAGGGATAAGGTTATTGCCGAAACATAACAGCCTACAAAGACAAAGCCTAAAACAAAGTAGGGGCGAACAAAACACTAGAAAACGCAGCAGGAGAGACCCCAAACTTCGACACCTCCAAGTCAACAGATCCATGTTTCGTCGGTGGCTGCAAACTAGCCGCCACCATTTTTTCCAGCAGCTTCCAGAGGACCTCCTAAGCTATGACTTGCAGTGAGGGGCCTAGCATCATTTCCACAGTAGCTCCCTTTCC